CACGTCGACAAATTGGGGCATATTGGAGCGGCAGAACGTTGCCTACATCTTCGGCGGTTTGATCGCGTCCCTCCGCCGATATTAGTGGGGGAACGCCACGTTTCACATTCCGAAGGCTGTTCAGATGTCTGTACAGAAGCTTTCTGTTAACACAAAACTTTTCCGCTAGACTCCACTGGTGTACTAATTTGTCCTCATGCTTACCTAGCGTCACCTTTACTCCAGCAGCTATTGCAAGCAAACTACAGTCTCTCCGAGAGTACAGTGCCCCTGGAATCGACATGATCTGTCCAAAAGTACTATAAACCCCTGCTCCCACCATAGCAACACCACTTGCAACCTTTTTCCAGTGTCTGCTTAACTCCCATACACTCCCATCTGAGTGGAAAAATGGAATTACCACTGCAATATATAAAGGAGATAAGCGCTCGGATCCTGCTAACTACCGACCTATTACTCTACTTCCTGTTTTTTTCAAAAGTTATGGAATGGGTAATCGCAGATGAACTGACGAGATACTTTGAAAGTCAACAGATAATTTCTAGTGCCCAACATGGTTTCCGCCGCAGACGATCTTGTCTTACCAATTTGCTGATTACTCGGGACTTATGGACCAGGGAGGCTGATGAAGGATTGCCCATAGATGTGATATACCTGGATTTTTCTAAAGCATTCGACAGGGTCAATCACTTCTTTCTCCTTCAAAAGCTTGCTGCCTACGGTATCAATGGTTCCCTGCTCACCTGGTTGCAAGACTACTTACACGACAGAGCAATCAAGGTAAGAGTAGCCGACACCTATTCTGAAAGCCTTTACGTCTACAGTGATGTACCACAAGGATCCGTCCTCGGCCCGCTACTGTTTTTAGTCTACATTAATGACCTTCCAGCAGACATTCTATCTCCATTGCAAATATTTGCAAACGATGCAAAAATATGGAGAGCTATTCGCTCAGCATCCGACCGTGTCTACCTCCAGGAAGATCTGACCCGGATTAACGAATGGGCAGAAAAGAACCAGCTCCCTCTGAACCCTGCAAAGTGCCACCTGCTGACGGTACACAACAGCTTCGTCAACACACCTTTTGGGGCAACACGTCATGCAACACGTGACTAGTGAACGCGACCTAGGTATAATCGTGCATGAGAATCTTGGAAACTCGCTCCAATGTTCGAAAGCAGCAAGTGTGGCGAACTTGAACTTGAGACTTTTGAGGCGTGCTCTCGGGAGTTTTGAGCGACAACTAGTACCATTATGATTATTATTATTATTGTTGTGTGTGAATTTTAATCGTGACTTCTACTTTCTACAAACTTTACCCTACTCACAAACTTCCCACATTAACTAGCACCATTGTTGATTAACTCCTACATTCGTCCTTATGCTGAATATGCAATTCAGGCCTGGTGTCCATGGTTAAAACGAGACATTCGCCTATTGGAACAACCCCAAAGAAGAGCCACAAAGGCAACGCGTGGACTACCCGGTCTAAGTTACGAACTGCGTCTTCGTGTATTCGGTGTGTTCTCATTAGAATACCGACGGCTTCGCGGAGATCTTACTCTCACATACCGGATACTAACCGAAAGCGAGCATCCATGTACATCACTGTTGACTCTAGCCCCTTATAAACAAATCCGAGGCAACCACCTGAAACTAATGACGCAACACTCTCGTTTGAATTGTAGAAGGTATTTTTTCGCACTTAGAATCTGTTCTGACTGGGATGCATTACCAAACTAGGTGGTGAACGCACCAGACATGACGACATTCGAAAGACTCTTAGATTTTCATCTTAGTGATAAACGATACACAACACTTTGTTAAAGTGCAATGATTTAACCACTGATACTTTACGTTCCGCGTTGGAACATTTTGCTTTTAATTTCCTTTTGCATATCCATCCTGTGGGTCTTGTAAAGTTATGCTCTTTATCCCATCATACACCATTGAACCATTGAACAATGCACACCATAGTTACTCCAACTGTCAGAGATGGGGTTCGCTCTATATACGTGCCGCGCAGTGTCTCCCACTGTCATGTGTTTTCGGGTTCTACTCCGAGTAAATGATTGGGTCCTGGCAGAACGAAGGGGTTTGTTGACCGGTGCAGATTTAATCAGATCACTGAACTTGTCAGTAAAATCCAACAAAACATTGTCATTGGAGCAAATGGCATATCCTATAAAGTTCTGCAAGTATGTCGTAGTGGATGTTTGTTGGAAACAAGTCACAATGTTCTTGTGGATACTCCGCATAACATATGAAGTCGTAAGTTATGCTTACCTGGTCGCTCCGTTTCAGAGGGCTCTCATTCCTTGGATTCGCAATCACGGGCACTTCGTTCTTGAGCACTAAATCAGGCACTGATGGTTTATTTCCGACTCGTAATCGGGTGGGCGAACTGAGATGGCTAAAGAGCGAAATGCTTGCAATATACTCTTGCAGGTCAGCCATAAACGGCTCGTTTGGAGATGCCGGAACTTCCAAATCAAGAAGATTGAAGTCGCCGAAGATAAGAACATGACTGTATCGTCCTCGTAGGACGCTTCTCAAGAACAAGGCCGGGCGGGAGTCCATCTCTGGGATGGAGATTGGGGGACGTTAAACAACAGCGAAAAGGCAAGTATCATTGCGTCTCAGTCAGAGACTGCACCAGAGTGAGTTTATGATTAGCATTTCTGTGTCGGCCACCGGTTCGCACTGCAGGTTGCTGCGGTACGATGAACAATGAACCATGAATTTATACGAGTTAAGCAGCCTTGCTTTACTAGTCCCGTTGGATAGTTGGTGGGGATATCAACATAACAATAATGATGATAAGGATAGTAAAATAGTTAATAATTTGAATATGAAAATGAGGACTTATCGTTTGCTCCGCTGTAGTCCTGCGATCTGCTTAGATTCACAGCACCCACAATGAACAACGAATAATTCCATGGTATACTACGGGTGTACTATGGAGACGTAGTGTTAAGTAACAAGGTGTAAATGGATGTGTGCATCGTTCAACCGTCTTTTAAATACTGTTATTGTCGGTGCAGAGACGACCGATTCTGGGAGAGCATTCCATGGGTGACAGACACGAATGGAAAAGAAATTTCTGCAGCACTTAAGACGACTGTATTGTTTTGCGAGTTATAATGAGTGGCCCCTCAGGTTTGTATTGCTGATGAGCTGCAGTAAAGGGCGACACATATGATGTGGGTCTCACAGAATCAAGTATGCCATTATCAGATAACATCGTAGTCTGCGGTAGCTTCCACTGAACACCCCTAATCGTTGCAGCCTCTCCTGGTAGGAAAGATTGCGCATTCCAATTACGTTCTTAGATGCCCGGCGTTGTGGCTGTTCCAGTGCACAAAAATCGTGTTTCAACCATGGATGCCAAGCTTGAATTGCGTGTTCGACATGGGGGCAAATATACGCACTAAGTATTTGTCGAAATATGGAGCTGTTTATTTGTCCAAACGCCCGCCCAACTTGTTGGTTCCCGGTATTCGAGGCATTTTCGACTTGCCTGGAGCAACCCAAGTCATCCTGAACCAGGAAACGCAAGTCACGCTCGAGAGTGGATTGTTGTAGTATATTCGTTCCCAGCCGGTATGAGTAGCTGCCGTGATGTCGGATGGAAAGTACCTTGCATTTACTGACGTTGAAATGCAGTAAGTTTTGGGTTGGCCAGTGATACACTGTATCTAAGTCACTCTGAAGCAGATGCTGGTCGGCCTTTATCTGGATCCTGCGCCAGACCTTGATATCGTCGATAAACATGAGGAAGTTTGAAGCGATTCCTTGTGCGAGGTCATTAATAAACACCAAAAACAAACGTGGACCTAGAAACTGAGTCTTGCGACACACCACACTCGACTCGTATGGGGTCCGATAAAGACCTTGGAACTCTGACCACTAATTTCCGTTGAAGTAGAAAGATGGCAATCCAACTTAAAAGAGGATCGCCGATCCCTTAATGCTGCAGCTTGGGTAGTAGTATCCAATGGTCTAGACGGTCGAAAGCCTTGGAAAAATCCAGATAGATCACATCAACACCTTCTCCAGCGTCAGCTGCCTCGGTCCAACTACTGCGTGCAATTAGTATATTCGTTGTACATGACCGCTGTCGACGCAAACCGTGCTGCTCAGGCGTGGTGATGTTACAGTTTTACAAATAGCACAACATTGCATCGGCAACTATGGATTCTATGACCCTGGAGAGTATAGGAAGAAGAGTTACTGGGCGGTAGTTGGAGGGATCAGTTCTGCTTTCACCTTTGTGAATCGGGGTTATTATTCCAAGTTTCCACATGGCAGGAACTTGGTTCTGGTCTAAGCAGCACTGGAAATATGAGCTAAATGTCCTGCCAGTTGGCTTGCGGCTGCTTCCAGTGCCTCTGGACGAATGGTGTCGACACTCGGCGAGCTGTGTTTGCGTAGAGACGTCAGCTTTTGCAATGCAGCCCCCGCGGTAAAAGTGATGTGGGTTAGTCCTGACAAGGAGAAGACAAAGTTTGGTAGATCGCCTGGTGGCGAGAGCCTTCGAAACTTGGGAGGGTATTGCATCTGCAGCGGGTTCGCTGCTTCCACAGCCGTTCTTGTTGGGCCATCAGCCTTCCTGAGTGGAGGAAATCCTTGCCTCACTTTTCGCAGTCTATTAACGTGCATGTACAGCAGTTTGTGGTTAGCCCTGAAGGTTTTTGCGATGTTCTGCAGATAGGTGGCATTGTCTTCTCTTAACAGTTGGGTGCAGTGGTTACGTTGGGTTACGTAGTTGTCTCAAGTTTCGGGTGCTGGAGCTTCTCTGTACACTCGCCATGCTGCGGTGCGTACTGTCATCCACTTGCGAGTCCTGCTCCTAACGAAAGCAACTGATATGCACTTCTTGCAAACTCTGAAGCCTCTGCAATCAGCTGACTGAATGTTGTGACGAAATCCAGCTAGGCGACTTCTGGGGGTTCTTCTTCGAGGTACGACCAAGTTGTGGCGCTGACGAGCCGGGCTAATCAATTGTAGCTTGTGATGGTTCGTACAGTCTCGTCGTTCTCATTAAGATATTCTGCATTGCTGACGAAGTTAAATCTGATCGCGGTGTGATCGCTGCGACCCAGCGGGCAGTCTAAAACCAACACATCCATCATATGCTCCTCGTTAGAAAGCACAAGATCCAGCACAGATGGCGTGTTATCTGTTCTGAACCGAGTGGGCAAAGTGATGTGATCGTAAAGAGGCACAGTAGTTACTAGATCTTGTAGATCGGCTTTGAATTGTTCTCCGGTCGTGGCGGGAGTTTCTAAACAGTGTACGTTGAAATGACCCATGATAAGAACGTGAGCGTAGTTTTGTTTTAAACTGCATCTTAAAGCAGCCGCTAGGTGATAGTCGGTTTCGGGTGTTGAGTTAGGGGTGCGGTACACCAAGACAATAAAGCAAGCATCCCTAACCCCTACATTTGCTAGGGTGATGGTTTCGGTAAGGGACATACCATGTATCGCGACCTCGGCGTCGGTAATTTCTGAGTGTAAGCAAGTTTCCATGACGACTATGAGGTTCCGGGCTTGTGACGCTTGACGTAGCTACAGTGTGGCAGGCTTGTTCGGGAGACCTTGTGTATTGGAGTACATGCAAGCAAGTTTCTCCGTTTTTAGCGATGAATCGTGGAATGGATGTTTTGAATTAAATGCTGTGGGGACTGCTATAAGGTCGGTCGTTTTATGTGTGGGGGGATGAGGAACTCGGCTGTGTCCGATTCATGAATCCTAGCATTACGCCTTTGCATATCGCTTTTTATGTAGTGTATATGGTGTGTGCCAGTTTCGTTGGTCTGTTGATTTAACTTATCCTAACTCTTGTCGGTAACTGGTCTGACTAAGTGGTTGCTCTCGTGTGTTTGCCTAGTAGTTTCAGCCCGACCACCAGTTTGAGCAACAGCGTTTGGATTCAGACTTTGCAACGAACGACACCCGCAGAACTGACAAGCACAATGGTATGTACTGATTGCCCACGGAAATCTAGGCTTAAAGCTTCGAAATAAGTGTTAGTTGTGACGCAGACAGCTGTGTTAAACTTGTGCGATTTGGACTAGAATTCACAAATGTCCGGAAAAGTGTTCATCCTCGATGCGCTCGCCTTAGTCTCAGCCAGATAAAGAAACTTAATAGTACGAGTATTGCTTTATGATTCGGCACTGAGTGTGCGTCTATTCCACTAGTCAAATGTATCGCAGTGTTGGTATCAGAAATATATGAAGCAAGCAGCATCCGGGAAAACTGTCCTGCAGGAACCAGACAAATCATTGCCTCGTATTCGACGCTCAACAACGAGCTCCAATTTAGAACAGTGTAGCAAGGCCGCAAATAAAAGTAACGATCCTGAGTTAGTCAACCCGACGTTAGTGGCTGCTCATCAAACTGCGTTCGCCACACATTATTCATCAGAACCACGCGCCAACTCGAACACCGGTAAAGGTCCGATAACATACGCGCCCGTTGTTGTTACCCATATTGTAGTAGCACGAAAGGCAAAGATCACAGGTGGAACGGACAAGCCGCGAACTCTAAAGAAGATGAAAAACAACGAGGACACCAGGGACGAACGTCGACAAAGCAGCACGAGGCCTACGAAACAAACTGGAAATGGACAACGAACGAAAAACGATATCAGGTCCATGTGGAGAAGAGTGGGGGACTAGTGGTAAACAGCCCGAATTTCCGGAGTACTATGCGTTAGGCCTCCCTCCTGGAATAACCACAAGGAGAGCGACACAGCCCCCAGTAAGCAAGTCAAGGGCATTAGAACTAAACCAGCTTGATCAGAAGAGGACATGCGGAAGCAAAGACACGAGGGCGAATAGGCGAGCAGCGACTTAACTGATCAGAGCATGAATGCCAAACCAAGCGGAGGACAATGTGCGGTGCGTGGTGGTCGGGAAATGTCCTCTATACGTGCGCGCGTGGGTGCTAGCCTGTGAACCCGTGGTGTGTTGGGAATAAACCGCTCGTTCTCGCTACAGTACGACAGAAGTATCTCCCTTCGTAACCCCGCCCCCTGCCAAACAAGTTAATACTGCCAATACCACCAATGGACTCAAGACCCTAACATTTATCCAACTGCAGAAAGCAGCCACGGGTCCCTCCAAAAAGGAGAACATGAAACAATACCATAATTCTCCGGCTGTTATATGCTCTAATGTAGCTGGATGCGAACGTCAGAAACGTAGGAAAGATCTGGAGGAATTCCGTAAACAACAAGACCTAAAAGCTATCCTTGTTCACGATGTCCTCGAGTTCCAGACATTGAGCGAGCTAGAGGCCAAAGCGCATGACTGGGATGAATGACGTTTTATTCGCGAATTGCTCTCACTAGAAAATGTTATCGCTGATTCGACACCAAGGTTACCGCTATCACCTAACTACAAAGGGTGTGGTCCTCGAGTGATGAAAGTATCATTGCACTCCAAATTGATGGCAGAGCATGTAATGCAAAAGTAGCACAAAAAGCGTAGAATGCTGTCCTTCGAAATACGTTTAAAGGTGATACGCATGGGATCCCAGATAGACAAGGTAACGCTGAGTAGGTAAGTTACCATTAGATTTCCATCATCATGTAGCTCAGAACAGAGACACTGCCAAAACACGCCGGCAGCTGAAGAAGGAAAGGATGGTCACTCTCTTGCTGACAATGAGAACTCTACACAACAACTTGAACTGGCCCTAGGGCCTGCGTAATCGGTCCTATAAAAACGGACCTCAGCCGACCCCTGAAGGGTCGTCATAGATCCGTACCGGAAATCAGTATTCACAAACGCTTCTAACCACCGATGCACCAACTCGTTTGTATACCGATGCAAAAGATCTTTTTATCAAGCTAACCGAAGTTGATATTCATCAGGTCTCCACGCTTTGGGATCTAGTTCTGGTCACCGAAACATGGCTGAACTCGAAGGCCACCGATGTTTAGACTGCACTACCCGGCATAACATCCATACAAAGTGATGGACATAGCAGAGGAGGCGGAGTGCCTTTTTATTATCGATCCGAATTGCATGTTGATATCATCCACTATCCAGAAACGGAAGTCATCGATTCTGTTTGGTGTAGTGGGCACCTAAGATGCGATGATGTGTATTTACTAGTAATAGTTTGCCGCCCTCCAATGTCCACCTTGGAAATGGATCAGTGCATACCTTCTGCAATGAAGCGTGTGCTGACTCGACCACACGATCACATTCTTCTGGTGGAGGTATTTAAGCTTCCCGTAATAGAAGTCCAGCATTTCACAGCAAACAATTCAAGGCTGACTTGCAAGAGGTGATTGTGATGTACCTCTGCACAACCTTGTCACCTCTCCCACACGACACCGAACGGGTGACACCCTCTGATTTGGACCTTGTGCCCACCATGGAGGAATCAGTGGTATGTCTGGACCACATTGTGGGCAATGGTCAAGTACATCAGCTTCAGGAGAAACAAGAGACGATCAAGAGTTATACAGTGCCAAAACCCAAACGTCAGCTACGTTCGTTCCTGAGAGTGGAGGTACTAACGGACGTTGCGGATTTTCGGACTACCGTGCTGGATTCCACATTTTCTTCCGGAGTACTCTGTTCTACGTAATTTTTCTGTGTGAATTACCCACCAGTATTTTCTTTTATATATTCTTCAATCTGTGCAATTTTGCTGATTTGCTCTGGCTAATTTTGGAGTTCTCATTGATTAGCCCAACTGCCGTCTGTGTCCGACATCTTGCATTTGTTCCACGGTAGTCTGCCATCATGACCGCCACACCGGTAACCCGAAACGAAGAATTTTGTGCTAAGCAAACTTGTGCTAAGTTATTAAAAGGTGGATTGACTTGTACAAACTGCCAAGACCGGTGCCATTCGAAATGTGTCAACGTCTGTAAAACTGACATAAAGCAATACAATATGCCGGGTTCACTTTGGTTCTGTCCGAACTACGCAACGATTCCACTGGTAAAATACTTACTTGGATTAACACAAAAGTACGACATCGTAATCGTCAAAATTGAACATCCTTTGAATGTAAAAATTGTTTCGAAGCGAACATAGTGCATCTTTTACCTCATCCCGCTCTCATAATTGCTGCCTCGAAAACAAGTAAAAAGCCAAGACTAGAAACCTTGGGAACCACGAACCAAATCGTCATCACGACCGATACAAGCATGTCTAGCCTCATCGCCCATATCCTCTTATCCAATGTATCGACTGCTGCAACATCGGTAACAACCACTTTTCCGACTGACCAACGGAATTCGAAGCAATCTAAAGACCGATTCACCTATGCAGTCATTGCTGCTCGGTATAATCAAAGGGCAACCTCAGTAGCCTCACCCAGTACAGCCGCAAAACGAGTCAAGGATCAGGTGCAACGTGCACAAACATCATTAAATCCATCGATAACCATGCTTCCCACATCATCGAAGACTAGGCAGAACGACGAGGTCTTGACAATTATACGCACCAATGTTCCTGTGTCCAAGGCAAACTCCTTAAAGGGTAAACAGCTGGATTATTTAAAGCAATGGAATTTCCTTTGTGATAAAATCGGAGTTCAAGCCATTCCAAATACTATAATGCGCATCACTAGACATCCAACCTAGTATCAGTATGGGGTGTCACGGCTAATACGAGTAACATTGGGCTCAATAGATGATGCCGAGACTGCGCTTTGTCGGCATACCCCCTGCGGACTGAAAACAGTGGAATAGGCCTATTTCCGGATGTTCCATGGAGCGAACGCCAGCGGGATAGAAATAATTCAAACGACCACCACACGGAAAGCAGAAAAAGAATTATTTTTGTTCACGGCTTGTCCGATCTACCGACAACCAGCAACGAAGAAGTCCATGCTCATGACCCGGAAGAATGGCGTTACATCCTTGAAGCTCTGTGCAGCCAACGTCATACTTCAGTCGTTTACACGGTTACCCGTGTCGCCAAATTACAGAGACAGTGACCCGAGGATACTGAAACTACCGGTGCAATCACAACAGATAGCCGTGAATTTAATCCGTAGCTGGCATTTACGCCGCAACATACTTCCCTCGGAACTACGACTGAAGACAGCAGTTAGAGAGCCACAGCCACTCGCTGTTCTCGCGGAAAGGACACCACCCGTGACTCAATATAACCACAACAGCGATACGGAAATCTACGCACTAAGACCCGTAGATCTCGAGGTTGCCGGTGGATTACATACCGCAAGTGCAAGTGAGACCAAAAACAGATTACATTCCCATCGAGATCTGGCAATTTACCCGAAAAAACAATTAGGTGCTGGCCTCTCATCGGTCGGCACAA